ATTCAAACACAAATAACTAGGCCCCATTTGCTTTGTTGATGTCCCCAAGAACCACTCATATGCCATAATGAGCAAGGTTATTATGGGGTGGCATCATATGATCCTTGAAAGGAGGCACAAACTGCTAATGATAATAGATACTGATGCCAGAATCACCCAAGGCACACCAAATGGTCCATCTTCATCTCTCAACTCTTTCTTGTGTTGTTCAATAACTCAATCTCAACTTTGGAAAAATTACATGCAATAGAAAGTCCAGTGGCTCGTCAACATCCCAGCACGTAAAGCATACGTTTAGGAATTGTTTTCATATATTACAACATCAGGTTCACTTCTATGACACTTATCACCTCGTTTTATACCTGTAACTGACCTTTTCCTAAAAATAGATGTAAAAATAACTCCCTCAGTCTACAAAGAAGAATCTACTGAATTCATTTCATTACAGAGTTATAAGGAAATGAGAAGACAGTCTCAATCTTGCCAGAATTAGTAACAAAACAGATGCACATGTATAGGCATTAACCCAGTTGCACACAATAACAAGATCCTCCACAAAGGTCTGAATCAGATTACCATCAAAGCAAGAACAAGAAAAAAAGACAAACAACAATCAGAATCTAATGGAAATTATGCTTTATTTAACACTGCATGCAAAGTCACCTTGACACAACAAGAAACACCAAAGTGACTTGCTCATTAAAGGATTTACAAGTCACGTAATCAAGTCCACCTACTGAACTCACTGGCAATGTTGAGCCATCAGATGGACTCAATGAACTCTTCTCCATTACCTACCTATTTTACAAGGGCAATTTATCAACGCACACCTAGGAGATGAACCATTTAACATTTCACTCTTATCTTTTGATATAATATCAAAAAGCCCATCAAAATACACACTGTCATGAGTTGGAATAGTTGAAAATCGTTAAAATGTTAAATAGTTGATAAGTTAAGTGTATTTTAATAAAGGGAAATTTACGTACGGATTGGCTTTTAATAGTGCTACGAAATAGCCCAAAAATATGTCATTATTACCTGGAAGGAACAGAAACCGCAAATTTTTTATTTTTTTCCAAGTTTGCCCCCAGTCAGATTTTAGAAACATCGGACTGCTTTTTTTCCGAAATTTTTCCTTTTTTGGAAAATTCGCCCCAATTTTTGAAACCTCAGACCGCTCGATAACATTTCAAAGCGGTTCGATGTTTTCAAAATCATACCCTATTTTCAATCAAAAAGAAGAAGAGTTCGTGGTCTGATATTTTTAACATCGGGCCCTGTTTTCAATAAAAATAAAGAACAATTAGCGGTCCGATGTTTTTAACATCGGACCATATTTTCAAACAAACCTTATGTTGCCTCCAGAAAGATTGTGTGCCCACAACAATGGGCCAATCAATTCCAGTAGTTTTAGAGAGAGAGGGGGAAAAAGTAAAAAAACCCAAAGCGAACACGAGGCAATCCTCTCTCTCTCATGCCAGCCAAGCTCTTTTTATTCCCTGCATCTTTCTCTCACTAGAGGGGCCCAACCACATCCTCCGCCGCCCATTTATATAGCCATCCACAACCCGCAATGCACCCCAGCATCATAGAGAGAGAAAGCAAGTGTCTGAGAGAGAATAGTTAGAGAAAAAGGATCAATGGCGATGGATGATGGGAAGGAGAAGCTAGAGAGATACAACTCGTAGATTAGAAAGATGAATAGCAGCAAGGCGCTTGCTGCCTCATCGAAGCTGCTATTTAGAACTTCGATTTTTATCGCTCTCTTCCTTGTGTTCTTTCTCGCTCTAACTTGTTGGAACTCAGCTCTCGCACATGTAAAACATAATTTGACAAATTTTCCAAGTGAAACAAAAACCTGTTGAAATTTCTAAGCAAAACAAGACTGGGGGCAAACTTGTCCAAAAAAATAAAAAATGGGAATTCCGTCCTTCTTGGTAATATTGGCCTATTTTTGGGCCATTTGTTATAACAGACCTTTAATCCGGTCTGTACGTAAATTTCCCTTTAATAAATTCACCATTACACAAAAACCAGATCGGGCACCAAAAGGTTAAGTGACCCATCCAACATTAACCGGTTCATAGCTTGTCCAACAGGTCAGCAAGAAAATGACAGACAAAAGATAGGAAAAATACAATCTAAATTAGTTTAACTGATCCATCACTCTGGTTCCAACAAATTTTCATTGGTTCAATCCAGTATGCTGTGTTTCCTAGTCTTATAGCCAACCAAAACAAAAGAATGTTTTCACTCCAAGATGACAATTAAAATAATCCAGAAACCAATCCAGGCTTCACAACAGTTCTGCCACCTTAGAAAAACCTCCATTAAGGGCCAGTTTGGATGTCAAATAAAAAACCTTCACATTGAAAAAAATGTAAGTTTTTTCATCCTTAATTGAGAAATATAGTCATCTTTTTTTATTATTCTGCTGGACTGTTTGGATGGAGTGTGAAAATACGAAAAGCAGATTTTATTTGTTCGACATTTGTTTAGAGTTTGCATTCCACCCTTTCAAAATTGGCTTGCCATTCCAAAAGGTTTTCCTGTATCCCTCCCATCAGTCAAAAATCCGCTTCCCTACAACTTTCTCTCTCTAAAAGCTAAACACCTCAAATATCCTGGAAAAGCTCCCACCCAAAAACCCTAAATTCCATGCAACTTTCTCTCTCTAAAAGTCGAACACCTCAAAATATCCTGGAAAAACTCCCACCCAAAAACCCTAAAAATCAACAGGACCATAAAACCCAAAGAAACCTGCTTGAAAGGAAAGACCAATACCCCTAAAACCTCCATTCAAGTAAATCGTGGTTTTATGGTTTTTCTCTTCATGAAACAAGAGAAAAAAACACGAGAATGGAAGATGAGGGCTACCAAAGAACCAAACTGGGGACACCCTCAAAGAGTTAAAAGGTAGACAAAGAAACTGCCTCAGAAATTGAGGATTTCAGAGGATGGCCTAAGAAGGGAGCTGAAGAGAGAGAGAAGGTCTTGCTTTTGAGATGGTTTTAGAGAGGGAGAGGTTGTACTCAATGCAGAACCTGTAACCCGAGCTTCTCGCTTACAAAATTGAGCTCTAAAACGAAGCATATTGATCCCCCAGCAACATTCCTCTGACCAGTACCAAAAATTAAGAAAAAATCTCAAATTCCCGGCTCCTTGGAGGGTAGAACCTCCCGAATGTTAGTTTACTAAGTGACAGCAACCCCATTAAGTTCAGGCCTTTCTTTTGGAGAGAGGACACTAAGGAGTCAAGTTTACAAGGAAAAAAAAAAGCCCTGGTTTGCAAAGGTACACCTATTTTACAGAGAAAAGAAGCCCAAAATTTGAAAGAGGGCTTTCGTTATTTTTAGAGATGAAGGGTTTTGATGTTGGAGCACAGAGAAAAGTTGGCTTTTGATATGTTTAGAGAAGAAGGGTTTTCGATGTTGGAGCTCTGGGAAAAGGGAGCTCCATTTTGGGGCATTAGGTACAGAGGTTTGCTGCGTGTTGTTTTTTGTTGGAGAGAGAGAGGGGTTTACCATGTTCAGAGTTGCAGGGGCATGGGAGAGGTGCTGGGGGTGTTTGAAGAGGAGAGGCAGCATCCGATAAGCAGAAGCCCAAAGAGTGCGATGATCCAAAAATATTTGAGTCCGACTTGAATATATTTAGATGCTAAATTCACCTTAGAATGGACAGCTTTCTAATTTTCTTATAAAAAGGAAAAACTCACGATATCCAAACACGTATAGACCCCCTTTCGAAAAATTTTATTCACCTACCATCCAAAAAACTAGCATATTAATATCATCTCATAACATGTCAAAACCCAGCTTTTGGACAAAGAAATTCACAAAACCATGAATACACAAGCGTGTAAATCTTTTTCTAGATCTTTTGCACACAACAACAGGGACGAGCACATAATCAATGTAAAATCCAGGTTCTGTTGTAATTTTTATACAGTATTAAATTGATGTATCAGATCAACAAATAACAACTAAAAGGAAACAATCAACAAATATAAGTTGACATATGCTGACAATGCATCTTCACTGACAACAAAGACATAAATGAAAAGGCAAGGAAGAGGAGCGGCCCAGAGATGATAAATAAAAGGGTCAAGCATGAGGAATAAGAGAGAAGAAGATTTATTCTCCAAATGAATAGGAGCAGTGTTCTAAAAGTTGGCCACCCAACCGCCTAGGCGGCTATTTTAAAAAACGCCTAGGGGTTCTTAAGGTCGGACTAATTAGGCTCCAGAACTAGGTGGTAGGGCGGCTGATTAGGCGGTCAATAAGGTGGAACTAGGCGGCACGCAGAGCCTTGACGGAAAATGTTTTTTGGGTGGGGGGCAAAAAAGGACAATTTACCCCCTTAAAAGGGGGAATAAGGGTTTGGGGGGTCATTCTTGCCCCCCAAAACAAATAGAGAGAAATGACTTGAAAAAAAGTCGATTTGAAGATTTTTTGAGAGATCGAAATCTTCTTCGAAATCCTCGAATGGTCACGATATTAAAGGATATTCAACCTCAATCTTTTTGAGGCTTATAAGGGTTGTAAAAGAGGAGATTTGGGATCCCAAACATTTCGGTTTGGCCTGAAATCGAGTCCACTTCAAGAAGGTTGGTATATTTCAATAATTTTCATTAGGTTTTGTATTTTTTTTCCCTTAATGTCTAATGATGTATTTTTATTTTTCTTTGATACTTTGTGATATATATTTGATATGTTATTGTCTATTTGGAATCTTGGATTATTATTTTATTAGTTAGTTTAATAATTGCTTAATTCTTAATTGCTTATTAAATAATTGTAGGTGCAATGTGTTTTAATGTTCATTTTGAGTTATAATTATTTCATTTACAATCTAAAGTTGTAAATGTTTAGGTTTGATCTGTGGTTCCGGCAACTTAACAATATATTATATACAAAACTTACTTATTAAATAATAAAATATATCATAAAATGGGGGGAGGTGTGGGGGATCGAAATTTAAAAAAAAAAAAAAGTCACCTGCGTTTTGGGTTTGGGCCCCGCCTAGGCGGCTGCCTCCGCCTTATTGAACATTGAATAGGAGACAAGGGGAATGCATGGCTCATTGTACCTACTCTTTCAACCTAAACACAGGACAAGGAGAATGAAAGAGAGCCAAAAAACTATTCTCTTACCAACAAGAGAATATGCAGCTATAAATTCACATTCCTTTACAGGATTCCAAGACACAAAGCACTGCAGCCAAAGCCAATGTGGCACTCCCTTAGCCTTTGGTAATTGCCACAAACCTTTTGCGCTCCTTAGGAGTCTGTGAACTTCAAACATGAGGAAATTACTTCCTATAAAAGCTTCATCCATCCCAAGTTTTCCTCTTCCTGAAACCCCAACTTTCTTATAAATTACCATATCATTTGTTTGAAACAGAGTAATGATAATGCTTTACGAAAACACTGTTGTATTGCTTCCCTAGATGAAAAGATCTTAAAAACCTACTGTTAGTTGACATAGTGAGAGATTGAGATACTCTAAAATCTCAGAAGAGATAACAGAAATAGAAAAGCTTCCCTAGTTTTCATCCAAAACAACAAATTTACAATATATCATCACAAAGTATTACCCATAAGTTCATATAAGATGGACTTGGAAGCCACAATTAAAAGGTTGACACCATGAAAAATGACAACACTAATATTATTTACAGAAATAGCTGTCTAAACAAATCTCATTGAAATAAATATCTTCTCAAATTTGATACAAATCCTTCCCATCATAACATATGCAAAACCAATGAGCTCTCAAAAATTTCATACTCCATATTACAATTACAAAGAAAACCATATAAAACTGGCTAAGAGAGTAAAAACTGTCTGTATTAAATTGCAAAAACAAAAGGTAACAATAAATTTATATTAAAAAATTTACAAGATTATGCAAAATAGTCATGAAATTTTTCAGCATTTTCTTATCAGTCTGTTCTCTCCTTAGTTCATCTCACATAGGGACCTCAATTTGGTTCCACCATCCTCCATAATGTCAACTTCAATCTTCACAATCACCATGAAGCAATGTCAATTTGTCTTTGATTCTGAGGTCTAGCACTGATTGATCTCCATCATCTGGGTCATCCTCCTTATATGCATCTTGGTCAACGAACATACTACCTCAACAAGCTCCTTGTCAGTGTGTTCCTCACAGGTATCTAGCTCAACTACTGGGTTTAAAGAGCTTTCAATAGACATCTGCTCTTGTAATTTAAGAGCTGCTATGAATTTCACTAGCTCATTCTCGAATTCTTTTTTCTTCAACACAGAGATATAGACGTTTTAGCCTTATGCACTACTCCAAACTACCCATACTTGTGATACCATCCTTATTCTTATCTTGCAACCATAGAGGCCAACAAGCATCTCCATAGGAAGATAGTATCGTTTTATGCTACCAACACTTTTTTATACTGTCCGATGGCACATCATTCCATGCAATCTTTTGACCATCGCATGGCTTGAAGCCATTCAATTTTATAAAGGCCCGTTTCTCGACCTTCATCCCCATCCAACATATTGAAGTTGGTACAGATAATAGGGACGCTTGAATGAGGCAATGCTGCCTATATCCATGAGCTGGATGTTTGACACGCCGCATTATCTAGTAACAATAGAGTATTCCTTTTCTGTGCTTTCATTTTCATTGACATTTCTAATCTAATCTTGGAAAAGAATTGCAGTCATCCAAGCTTTTTCATTATGGGTATAGTTGTTAAAGCCTAGTTGCTTGGCACGTTTCTTCTTGAGGCATCGCGGCTTGTTGGCATGAGCAATAAAAAAATAGATGCATTTTTTCTAAACCATCAGCATTTACTGCAAATGCCAAAGTGAAATAGGAGTTCATGGCCTTGATTCCCTTGATTTGGTGAGATGCTATAGTATGATCCAGTGCCATGCTCCAAAATAAACAAGATTCATCCATATTAAATTATGTCCTTCAAGAGGTATTTGTCACTGAATTCATGTATCTAAGGAAAGCCTATTTCAATTGCCTTACAATATTGATAACCACTTTCGAAATTTGAAATATTGAAAACTGTGGCAGTTTGAAAAGCTTCCAACCAACCATTAGAAAATTCTGGGGTCCTATTTTTGGTTAGCCTCATCATCTCAGCAAACTCCTTTCCTTCGGCTATGATCATGTCCCCTATCAGACGTACACCTTCATGCTCACATTGCCAAACCTAATTCGCATGGGCAGTGTCAAGTTCAAGCACAAAACATTCTTTGATTTTTACGTCTCAAGCCTGACGCTGACATTGTTTTAAATTCTTCTCCCCTCGAAATAGTGCTTTGAGAAGGTGCCTTCAACAATTAGAATTCCCTTTGAGTCCAAGTTTAATCCATTTTTTGTTATGACAGGATTGGCCTCATGATATTCACAAATTTCCTTCTGTTGCTCATTTGTAATGTTGCCTGCAAGGTTCTTTCTGCCCATAGTATTTATGAAACTAATTTCCTACATGTCAATAAATAGAAAGCCCTAAGAAAGAAAACCAAAACACTGAAAAGAGAAGTCTAATGAGATTATGAGTGGAAACAAAACTGTAAAGGGAGCACATACACAGAAAATAAACAAAAAGAAAAAAAAAAGTTAGAGAAACGACAGAAAGAATTAAATAGAATTGAGAAAATAAATAATACCAAAGCCTTTAAAGAAAAAAAGCATGAGAAAACCAAAGCCTTAGAGAGGGGAAAGGGGGGGAGGCGGAGGGATAAAAAAAGTAAACAGAAAAGCTTCAAAAAAAAAAAATTATAACAAAAAAATACCCTCTTATCTTTTGCAATGATCACTCTCTCAATCTTTCTAGTGAGAGAGAGAGACAGAGAGACAGAGATGTAATTAATAGAATCAGAGTTATGGGAATGATTTAAGCATGTTCCTATTTTTAATTGCTCCATGATGGTTTTGAATTCTCTCCCCTTGTCTTGTCGAGGTGATGACCAGCCTTGAATTAGAATTTCAATTTGAAACTGCTATTTTTCAAAGTTGGAGATTTGGTGCTGGAGTTTCTCATTTCTTTTGTAAAAACACTAATATAAAGGGTATTTTACTTACATGATTGTATTCTTTCTATAGGATGGGAATATGCACTGTCTAAAAAGCAGTTGCTGTTGGCGCCAGGGCAGTGCTTTGAGGCAGGGCAGATCCCTAGGCACCTTGCCTAGGGCTAGGCAAGCAACCTAGATAATGGTAGGCACATGCCTAGGGGCTCAAGGCGCCGCCTAGCACCTCAGCCAAGCTGCCCGTGTCGGGCTGCCCATGGCTTAAGGATAGAAAATGCCCTCATGGCATGGGCAATATGGTCTTTCCCCCCATATTAACAGAAAAAAGACATTGTGCCCCCCCAACCACCCCAAAACACACGCACACACCCCAAAAAGATAAAGTAACAAAAATAAAATAAGGAAAAATATTGATTTCTAAATGTTTCCTATTGTGATAAACATCAGGAAAAAAAAATTTAAAAAAATTTTAAAGAAAAAACTGAGAACTTTGAGAAATGATTTCAAATCCATTTTTTTTATTTGATTTATTTTGCATATCAATAGAGCTTACAAATGGAAAATTTCAATAATTTAAAGGTCGAAATTCATCCAAGACATTGAGATTTGGAAATGCAATTATCTTTGTGGTTTGTTAAATCTTAGATGTGTGAAATGTGATTCAACACCTAGTTTCTTTCAAACTTTGGATTTTCCACTTAAAATTTTAATGTTCAACCATTTATACAAGTAGATAAACTTTATCTAAAATATAGTAATTTATTAGTTTGTTACATGCGTTTATATTTATATGTAATTATATTCATTGTATATTTATATGTAATCATACACAAAATATATCCACATATATTAGGGCGCATCAAAACAGAGGCAGCCACCCCACCCTAGTTGGTTAGATGTTGCCTAGGCCTTTTTAAAACATTGGGTATATAAAGCCATAGTGATTAGGATGAGGATTAAGCTTTATATAGAGAGAAGAAAAACCCTTGCACCTTTGGAGAAAAGGGGTTTCTTGAAAGAGAAACCAGTGAGTGGAAAATTGATTTTCATTTTATTGGGAAAAGAAAGGGAACAAAACATAGAGAACATGCACAATAAGCTATCTTGGTGAATAGTGGATTTGGCCATTTCCTCCCTTGGACGTAGCTTGTGTAAAGAAGTGAACCATGGAAATCCGCTTTTATTTTTTATCTTATTTTCTGATGTTGTTCTTTTCTCTTTTCCATATAATTTTCTCAACAATTGGTATAAGAGCAATGATTAGGGATGGCTGACAAAACCTCCGACGTGAAGTTTGATCTTGTAGTAGTTTAGTGGGAGAGACAGTTTCAGGATATGGAAGAAGAAGACAAGGGACCTATCGATACATCAAAGCTTAGGGGAAAAGGCCAAGAAGCATATCAAAAGAAAATTGGGAGACTAAGTATGTGACAATTGCTAGCACCATTTGATTTTGCCTCTCTGATGACAATCTCTACAATGTGTACAATGTGGACACGATAGATGAAAATTCGACATCTGTACTTTGGTTAAACCTTGACATCCTTTATATGACAAAATCTCTCTCAAATCACCTGTATTTGAAGCAGCAATTATATACCCTAAAGATGAAAAAAGGTATGCAGATTATGGATCTTCTCCATGGGTTCAAGAAAATTATTTGTGACTAGGCTGTATATGCGAAAATAGAGAAAGAGGAAAAGCCATCTTTCTTTTGACCTCACTCCCTTCTTCGTATGATCATTTGCTTACAATCTTAATTTATGGCAAAAATGCCATAGACAGTTCAACAGCCCTCTCATCATACAAGAAAAGGAAAAGGACCACTAGTGAAGGGGCATCTACGCAGGCATTGGTGGTTAGGGAAAGATTAGTGAGAAGGGATCATCTAGAGGCACATTTAGGTTGAAGTCAAGAACACGAAATGACAAGGTGAGATGTCATCATTGAATGAAATAAGGCATATAAAGAAGGACTGCAAAAACGTAAAAGACAAGGAGAAAGGAATGGTAGACTCCAGTATGCAAGCTAGTGTTGCAAAGGAGAGTTCTGATGGTAGTGCTGGGAATGTTCTCTCTATAGGCCATACAGCAATTATCTTTCTAATGAATGGGTCCTTGATTTTGGGTGCAGTTTTCCTGTGTGTCCTCTTAGGAAGTGGTTTCGCAAGGAGAAGTCATGTAATGGAAGGAATGTCTTAATGGGGAATGATACACACTGTAAGACAATTGGTCGAGGACAATGAAAGTTAAAATGGCTGATGGCATTGAGAAAACTCTAGCGATGCCAAACATGTACCTTAACTAGAAAAGAATTTAATGTCCTTTGGTGCTTTAGATATTATTGGTTATAAAATAGTATTGGAATGTGAGATTTCGAATATGATGATGGGACTTTGTCATCATGAAGGCATAAAAAACATACATCTCTACAGGTTACCAAGAAGAATAGTTGTAGGCAAAGTGGGTATATTTACTTCCAAAATGAGCCAGCAGATCAAGCAAAGTTATGAAATATGCCCTTGGAGCATATGAGTCAACAAGGCCTGCAAAACTTTGTGCAAGGCTACTGTTAAGAGGTATAAAGGAGTGCAGCTTATACTTTTGTACTGCACTTGTTTAATGCAATGGGCTATAAGTCCGTGTCCAAGATAAAAGATAAAAGATAAAAGAAGGGTGCAATGATGAAGGCGGAGAAAATTATAAAGTACGATTTGTGGCGAAGGGATATGACCCGAAAGAAGCTTTCAATAAGATCTAACTAATAAAAAAATACATAGTTTTATTCGGTTTGTTATCACTATAGTTGCCTTACATGACTTACATTTAGAGCAATTAGATATGAAAAGAACCTTTTTGCATGGAAATCTTGATAAGGAAATACAGGCAACATCTTGAAGGATTTATGGAGAAAGAAAAGAAGAGAAGATATTTAGATTGGAAGTCAATGTAGAACCTCAAGCAATCTCCTAGACAATGGTACATGCGACTCGACATGTTTATGACAAAGCATGTACACCAAAAGCAAGTATAATTATTGTGTTTACTTCAAAGTGCTGCATTTACCATTCTGGTATTATATGTGGATGACTTGTTGATTGCAGGAAAAAGAGAGTTAGACAAATAAATCAAAGACTCAGTATGGTAAAGAATTTGAAACGAAAGACCTATGGCATGCAACAAAAAAAAAGTGGAAATTTGTAGAGATAAAAAGAATGAGAAGTTGTGGATATCACAAAAAAAATTATATTAAGAAGGTTCTCTCAAGGTTTAATATGAATGATGCAAAACATGTTAGATCTTAACGCTTTTGCATATTGTGACCTAGAAAGGGAACACAGATATCCTGTTCTATATGCTAGTGCAGTGGGCATACAGAGATAAGAAAAATATAGAGAGAACATGTACAAGAACTTTCTTGGTATTTGTGGATTTGGCACAGAAGTACCTTCAACAAAGTAAGCAAACCACGTAAGTCTGGTTTTGTCACTACTTGTGGTTTGATCTTCTTTTATGATGGTTTTTATTTTTTCTTTTTCTTTAAATTTTCTCAATATCAATTACACATAAAATACAAGATGACACGAGACAAATTTTATAAATTTTCTAAGGGTGTAAAGATTTTTATTTCAAAAACTAATAACCTCTCTTGATTGAGACTAAATGGCGCCACTAAAATGACAATTTTGATACAAGTAGAATATAGGGACATATTTCCCAATGATCATTTGCAAAAAAGTTGATTCTTTTATCTCCCTCAATTGTATTTTACTTCTGCAGCCTCTAGAGAACCAATAAAGCACAAACTTCATCTATTTCAACATGTTCCTTCATATATGGAAAGCTGTAAGCAAAATCTTTAAGCTGCGAATCATTACATTTCATGTGTAGGGACCTCATTAATTTCATAACCAGTAACCACACACCACTTAAACACATAAATGCACATATATGAGACAAAACAGAGAGATGATAATTGCATATTCACGAACTTATAACAAACATGGGGCTTTTAAACAACAAAAGTGAACATAAAAATGACATGATAAAGGAACAGCCACATGATTTATACATGATTTTATTTCTTTTTTTTTTGGGTAAATCTGATTTATACATAATCATTTACTAGAATTTGAGCTAGATATCACACTGATGAAACACAGTTTAGTTCTTAGGAAATTTAAAGGTTCAAAAGATTGGGTGTTCAGAAAAATAAAAATGACATATCAAAAAATGATGCTCAATGTCCTCTCCTTATCGATGATCCAACATTGCTTTTATGTCACAAAATTGCAAGAGGCTCACAAAATTACAAGAGGCCACGATGAACGGTTAAAACCAAATATTCAAACGGAACTTTCCCCAAAAAAAACCGAACTCAAAACTTAATACATCAAAGGAACTGTGTGTCCATTGAGTATTAGACCAAGAAAAGAAAACTCCATTCCAAACAAGAAATAATTCATCACAATGTCGATGCAAAAATAACTAAAATAACACGGCAGCGATGGCTTAATTCATGACAGTGAGAGAGATTATAGTTCACCTTTTGAGTGGATTCTTCTGGTTCTTCTAGGGTTTCCATTGGTTACAGTAAGAAGATCACCTCCCGAGAAAACTACACTAGGAGATTGCAGACAAAGGATTCTTCTGTCTGGTAAATCATAAGACTGAAAAAACACAGATGCAATGCAAGTGAGGTTTGATACTTAAGAGTGAACAAGTAGAGCAAAACTGGAAAAACGATTTTTACTGTGAAAATTAAGGGAAATTTCCCCTCTTCCAAACGTACCGCATCCCCAAACCTCCGGGAGCATGTAAGCCATTCTCCCGCGTAAGCACATTGTGCTTCTACTCCCGCATATTGTGCATCTACTCCCGCAGTCAAATGAAACTTTTTCAATATGAAATTTTGAAAAGATTATTACTAGATGATTATTATCAAATAAAAAATTCGAAGTTTAAGTTCCTGTTTTTGGTATTTTCATATTGAGTGCAGTTGGCCTAAGGATGCATATGTAGGTGTAGAGGTAAGGTGCACCTTCTAATTTTATCATGGTATATAATTTTGATGTAAAATGTTCATAGGATTATCTCAAAATCTATTTTTATATCTAATTATAAAATTTTAAATTTCAAAAATGGTTAAAATCAAGTAGATCTATAAACATATGAGAATCTTGAAAGTGGAAGGTGTGGATAACATATTGTAAAATACACTATTTCTAAGACTTAAAATCTTTTTATTTTTCATAGTCATACATCTCGATGTCGAGATGATCAATCAAAGGGTTTTTCAACATTAAAACTACATTTTTTGATGGATTTTTTAGGGGCATCCGTAATTCGATATTATAAGGTAGCATCCTTATATAAACTTTTTCCTTTCATATTATTAGATGTTGCCCTTCAAAAATTAGATGGCCTTTGTTCATTATGAAAGTACTATTATTTTAGTATGAGTGTGGTTTCTATAAGGTTGTAACTTTTAAATAATCTAATTAAGGCACACCTTCAAATTTTATCATAACATATAATTTTGGTGTAAAATATTTTTAGGATTATCTAAAAATCCATTTTCACATGTAATTATAAAATTTTAAACTCCAAAAATGGTTAAAATCAAGTAGACATATAAACGTATGAAAATCTTGAAAATTGATAGTCTAGATAATGTGTTGCAAGATGCATTATTTTTTGGACTACAAATCTTCGTCTTTTTTTTTTTCATATTCATACATCTCAAATGTCGAGATGATCAATTAGATGGTTTTTCAACATTAAAACAACCTTTTTTGATGGATTTGGGAGGTGCATATTTAATTCTACATTTTAAAGTTGCAACCTTATATAAACATTTTTTAAAATATATGACGAGTTTAATTTGGAATTTTTTATTTTTATTTACATCACAAAAATCTGAGGTTCTTATATTACTGTTATGTTGGATTTTGGGATTTATCCCGGAGAGTATATGGAGAGCATACTCCCCCAAGAGTATGAAGCTTTTTGGTCTCCACTAAAAAATCCAAATCCTGACCCATATTTTATCTTATTCTCCTCGAGTCCCCAACCATAAAAATCACAATTCAAGGCCACGATTAATCCGCTTGAGCATGAATTCTTGTAAAAACCTGTCGGCCTTTAGGGGTGGCAATTAGGCAGGGTCGACCCGCCGACTCGGTAGGGTGACTCAAACTAGGTCCATGTTTTGGACTCAACAGTTCGGGTCTGAGTCCAGGTCAGATCTAGGTCTGGGTTTGTCATAGACCTTATCAAGTCAAGTGAGAGTTGATTGAACCCAACATAAAATATATATTAAATAATATATAAAATAGTTTTTTTATTTTTACTTTAAAGACCCAGATCCAAATGACTTGGACCCGACCTGTGCCTTGGTTGGGATCGAGTCCAAGCTACTTGGACTCAACCTAAGTATGGGAGAGGAGAAACCTAGCCAGGACAGTGCAGGTTTGGGTTGATCTGAACCCGACCCAAATCTATTACCACCCCTTATCAAGCTTGAGTTTTCGATGCAGAAGTTTTCTTTTTTTGATCAACATTCAAGAATTTTATTGATAAATTAAAAGGAAATTATATCATCAGAAATAGTAAGAGAGACAAGAGAAACATCACCCTTTGCTAAGGCATCAACAATACCATTAGCTTCACAGTAAACATGGGAGAAAGAAACAGATATAGATACAGACGTAGAAGCATCCATAACCTGCAATCATAAAGATCGAAGTTCCCATGGTACCTTATGCTCCTTCATGCACCATCGAATGACATTCGAATAATCTCCTTCAATCAGACATGTGGTACCCAAATTCCTATCCTTGAAGATTTCCACACCCCTAAGCAAAGCGCATAATTTCGCAAAATTAGCCATAGCATTACCAATCGGTCCCGCATAGGCTAACACAATACTTCCAAAACAATCTTGAATAACACCACCAATACCAGCTGGGCCCGGATTCTCTAGAGAACTCCCATCAAAATTTAGCTTCAAACAACCCATAGGCAGGGCTAACCATAATCCCTTTGGCCGACATCTATATGTACCAAGAGAAAACATGTTAGAAAGGTTAACCATAACATCAACTTTAGAGATCCCTCAACCCTCATTGGATACTGAGAGACACAACCAAATAGAAAATTTGATTAAATGGAATAACTTGTTGTGCGGCAAAGTGGACCCGTCAAAGGTTCTCTTACTTTTCTCCTTCCATACCTCCCAAAGGATCATTCATTTTGTAATATTCCAAATCACGCAACCAATTTTAGGTAGGAATGGAAGACTAAACTGATAAACAAACTCGAGCAAACTTTGAGGTAGCACTAAAGAAACTCATTCTAAGCCCGTCAACCAATGCCACAATCTTGAGGTAAAAGGGCAATGGAGCAAGATATGTGCAACTAATTCCCCATCTTGTTTACAAGCAGACAAATATATGGCAAAATCTTGCTACTTTTCTAAAGATTATCAATAGTCAAGATTCTGTCTTGTGCAGCCAACCAAACAAAGACTTGGACTTTGTTATGGATTGGCTATTTCCATATTTGAGCAATACTAGGGCAAGACCATCTCCACTGATCATGAAAGAACAAGTTATAGCAGGATTTAACAAAGAATATACCATTACTTTCAATCTCCCATATTATATATCATCTACTTGGTATGAGATATACACTTTATCCAAGAGTTCCATAAGCTAGCACCATTGGGACAACAACATATTATTTAAGTGCCTATATATGAGAGATATATTCCAAGAAAGCCGTTGACCTCTCATTTTCACAGCATCACAAATTAAAATATTTGGGTTAGAAGCCACACGAAAAAGGTCTAGGAAAACGGATTTCAAGGGAAAATCCCCAAGCCATTTGTGATGTCAGAATAAACATACCTACCGCTTCCAACATTCCATCTAAAGTAACCAGAGATCATAGGCCTGCAATTGGAAATAACCCTCCACATATAAGACATCTCCTTACCTCTGCCACCACCAAGCCATAAACCCATAACTATTCATCCCATATTTAGTAACCAAAACTTGGTACCAAAGATGAACCTTCAAATGAATACTTCGCTGCCACCATTTACACAACTGAACTTGGTTAAACTTTCTAACATTCCGAATACCCAAACCGCCTTCACACATAGGGGTGCAAACTCTATCCCATCTTAGCAAGTGGATTTCTTGCTCTCACCATATGAACCCATAAGAAATCTCTCATCATTTTCTTGATTCTTTTCCCTACCGAGGTTGGAATATAGATCACAAACATCTTGTACATAGGAAGATTGGCCAAACACGATCTTAAGAGTGTTACCCTACCCCCTAGGGATATATATGTATGCTTTCACATATCAAGTTTGACTTCTACCCTCTCAATAATTCTATCCCAGACTGCAATAGAAATTTTTGAATCTGAAAGTGGTAACCCCAAATAGGAAATGGGAAAACAATCCACTTTGCATCCCAATACAAGAGTCAGGTTAAGTAATACCGAATCTGCACAATTTATGCCCACCAAGGATGATTTATGAAAATTAGCTTTGATCCCCAGGGTCACTTCGCAAATTTCTAAAAATCTTACGATATTTTCCAACTGTACTGCCTTCGCATCACAAAAAATAAGTGTATCATCAGCATATTGTAGATGAGAGACATAAATATTAGAATTTGCAATTTTGAAACCCATAAAGGTACCCAAACTCCCAACCCTGGTCAATATTAGGCTAAAACATTCAGCATAAATGGTAAATAAAAATGGAGAGAGCAGATCATCTTGACGAAGACCTTTAGAAGCATTGAAAAAACCAGTAGGACTATCTTTGAAAATCACAGAAAAATAGGCAGAAGAAAGGCTATCATAAATCCAACTCCTCCATCTAGCTCCAAAACCCATCAACTTCATAATCTCTAACAACACCCACCATTAGACCGCATCATATGCATTTTCCATATCTAATTTTAGCAACACACCCGCCTTCTTACTCAATACCCGAGAATGGATACATTCTTGTGCCACCAAAACACTATTAATAATCTGGCGACCTTGGATAAAAGCAGACTGTGTGGTTGAGATAAGTAAGGGAATGACCCATTTGAGGTGCTCAGCTAGAACTTTTGCAGTGAGTTTATAAACACTCGTAAGCAAACTGATAGGTCTGATATCATAAAGCTTACTAATCATTGATTTTTTAGGAATCAAAACAAAAAACGTTGAGTTAATTCCCTTAAAAATGTGACCTTTGATTAAGAACTCTTTCACTATCAACAATAATTCATCCTTAACAAGATTCCATAATTTCTGGAAAAAAGTTAAGCCATCCGGGCAATGCAAAAATCGTATTTTTTAGTTCCTCATAGGTGATAGCCCTCTCCAAAAGAACTTTACACTCCACATCCAGTAGCTTAAAGGGAATAATAGCAAAATTAGGGATCAGAGTTACCTCCTTAGAAAAAACAGTTTTGAAGTGCTGAATAATACCCCTTTTCATGGCAACATTATCATCAGAATCCATCTCAGGAATGCCGAGACCTGAAATATCATTTTACCTTCTCCTAGCACTAGTAATTTCATGAAAATACTTCATATTCATATCTCTTTCCTTCATCCACTTATTTCTAGATCTTTGTTTCCAATAGAGTTCCTCAGATCTCCGTAACTCCTCTAACTCCTTGATTTTCACACTGCGCTCACTCACCAACTGTTCAGTTAACA